ACTCACACACACACACACACACACACACACACACACACACACACACACACACACACACACACACACACACACACACAGACACACACACACACAGACACACACACGCACGCACGCACAAACTAACATTCCAACAGCTTTCAATGATCCGAGATCATAGACACCAGCTTGCACTAGTTCCGTTGCAACAACATCATTCTTCAGTGGAACCCATGTCTCAATGTTCAACAACTGATCACTGATGTATAAATTTAAGAGGAACATTGCAACAACAACAACATCAACAACAACAACATCTACAACAACAACATCTACAACAACGACACAACAAACAACGACAGCAACAGCTCTACTCACGTTGTTCGGCCAAATTGGAACATGTCCAGACCATGAGATTGAACTGGAATAAATTGGAATAGTCTTGGATTGTACTGTAGGAACTCCACAGAGATTATCCTATAAATAAATTACCGTTAAAACCGTAGAACTTGAAAACTACACAAACACATACAAACATGTAGACACCCATGCTTACTCATACACACATGTACACACACATGTACACACGCACACACACGCGCACGCACACGCACACAGATACAAAGATACAGATCTAGGCAAAAACAAATATACAAATCACGCGGATGTAGAAACAATACACAACAAAATACCTAAATATTTCATTGAGAAATCTGTGAGTCAGTCTGCTAGAGTTGGCAACTGTTAAAAATGAATACTCCTCTGGGATTTTCATCCATTTCTGGTCTATCCGGTCTGTTAGATAAACACATTATCATCGTCATTGTCATTATTATAACAACATCCGCCAGCAAAGAAAATAACCAAAAAGATGACAAAGAAACACTGTTTTCAAGATACATGCAACCTACATACAACCTACATACAAACAAACAAACAAACAAACATACATACATACATACATACATACATCCATACATACATACATACATACATACATACATACATACATACATACATACATAATGAGTTTTCTGACGATAGCTAAATAGAAAATAAGAATTGAAGAAGGAAGAAGGATATTCTGTCTGGCTGCAGCATATGTTAACTGTAAGAGCATGTTATGTAATATAACAAGATGTGGTTGTTTGTTAAACTGGTTAATACATACATAAATACATACAAACAAACAAACATACATACATACATACATACACACAAACAAACCAACAAAACAAACATACATAAAAACATACATACAAACATACATATATACATACAAACAAACTCTTGAGCATGTATGCATGTATGTATGTATATACGCTTATAAGAGGCACATCCATCAGACATAAGTACATATTATATTACTCAATAAATGTTTTGAACAGTTTCAGAACAGATAACCATGATACTCAGATACCAAATGATAATAATAATGATAATAACAAAAATAATAATAACGATAATAACGAAACGACATAACGAAACGAAACGTTATAACGAAACGATATAACGAAACGAAACGATAATCATCCTCACCAACAACAGCAGCAGAAATGATAGCAAAACAATAACCCAAACAAAGCCTCCACCATATCTGGTAAGAACAATGGGGAAAAATTAACTTCAACTGAAAGCTATCAATTTGTAATAAATGGAAATAATAATAATAATAAAATAGTAGCAATAATAATAACAAATAAATAAAACAAATAAAATCTTAAAAGAGCCCAGCAAAATTCTCAGACATCATCACCATCATCATCATCCCCATCATCATCATCATTCCTGTGGGTTCGTTGTTGTTGTTGTTGTTCAGGTTTATTGCTGAATTTTGTGTGTTGAAAATATCAAAGTTGAAAGGATGGTTAAATGAGACACACACACACACACACACACACACACACACACACACACACACACACACACACACACACACACACACACACACAAACATCCAAACACACACGTACACACAAACATCCAAACACACACACATATATACAAACAAATAAACAAACAAATATACCTACCTACTCACATATATATATATATATATATTATTCATCTATTTATATTATGCCATTTAATAGCTTAGATGTATAATAGAGTATGAATAGACTGTTTGTTCATAATAAAATAATAACATAATAATAATAATAGTTATAATAATAGTAATAGTAACAATATAATAATAATAATAAATAAATAATAATAAATAATAATAAAAAGGTTACCACATGCTCCATATGAAAAAATATTTATAAATTTCAAACAGTGAGAAATGAGAAAATGAATAACAAAAGAACGAATGAATGAATGAATGAACGAACGACAGAACGAACGAACGAATGAATGAATGAACGAACGACAGAACGAACGAACGAATGAATGAATGAATGAATGAATGAATGAACTACCGAACAAAAGACAAAATAAACACATGATGAAAAGAATAAATGAGTGATAGACTTGTTTATGTGTGTCTACAGATAGGCACTTTTTTCAACTAGATGAACGCTATGATTTTCATTTTTTCACTTCTCCATCCAATCATTCTTTCAATTATTAATTTATCCATTCATCCATCCCTTCATTCATTCATTCATTCATCCATTCATTCATCCATTCATTCATTCATTCATTTAAACTCTTCTATATCAAAATCTGTAGTGTTGGTCCAATTTTACTCCTCTCCCAAAAATGTTTTAAAAAAACAGCCAATCTTTGTTCTTTCTCTGTCTCTCTCTCTCTCTCTCTCTCTCTTTATCTCTCTCTCTCTCTTTGTTTTAAAATGAAAGAAGAAAAATAAATAAAAGATAGGTCTGAATTGAACAAGAAGGAGATGTCCATATTATTATTCACACTGAAAAAATTCAGTTTAAGACATCATCCTACCGTAATGGTTAACAACATCATCGTCGTCATCATCCTATCAAAACTAACATCATCAACTTCCTCATCATCTCAACCAGACATCTAGACATATATCTCCAGCCAGCCAGTCAGTCAGTCAGCCAGTCATCAAAATAACCACAAATGAACAGCAGACAGTATAAATTAGTCCCATAGAAAAAAAAACAAGCAAAAAAACCAGGGAAAAAACTAACTAAACAAACAAACAAGCAACAAAACAAACATTAAAATGATGTCATCATTACATCATAACCACCGTGATCATCTGCTGATGATCATTCCAAAATTTCGTCACAAAATTTTCAAAGTCCACTTGGACAAGACTTTGCACCAACTACTACTACTACTGCTACTGCTACTACTGCTACTACTACTACTAAAACTACTACTACTACTACTGCAGCTGCTAACGCTACTGTTGCTACTACTACTGCTGCTATTACTTCATCGTCATCATCATGATCTTTGTAATCTCCATCATTTTACTCATCGTTATTTTCATTATCTCTATCATCATCTTTTTCTTTTTCGTCGTCATCGTCATCTTCTTCGTCATCTTCATCATCCACATCATCACCATGATCAGATATTAGCTGCCTCTTAAAATATTTCTCAAGAAAAGAGACTAAAATAAAACTTATAATAACAACTAATAGATCAAAGGTCACACACACACACACACACCACAAACACACACACTCACACACATACCACACACACGCACGCACACACTCACGCACACACACACACAATACAATTAAGTATTCATAAACAAATAATCACTCATTTCCTTGAAATTTTGATTACATAGTCCCAATAACATACATGTGTGTAGTTCATATTTCACTTTTAATTTATACACGTGCGTGTGTGTGTGTGTGTGTGTGTCTGTGTGTGTCTGTATGTACGCGTGTGTGTGTGTCGGTTTGTGTGTGTAAGCACGAAATGTGCCTTTATGGGTGAAATGCTTTTAAAATATACTTGCAGTTTTATTGTGTACTGAGA